GGGCCAGTGCCGGTGCCAGCAGGGCCCAGAGCAGAGTGGCAGGAGTGCGGGGTCCCAGCTGGCAGGGGCTCTATCGAGCCAGGCCAGCTCCCCCCTCCCTGCTGGTGCAGCCCAGCCCAGCTCCCTGCCAGCCTGCACCCCAAGCTGGGCTCCACTGATGCTGGCCCTGGGACATTGATCCCAAGATGGTAACCAGGGGGCGGGGCACCTGTCAAGGGGTGGAGCACCTGTCAAGGGGCGGGGCTACCCATGCGGCCCTTGACAGCCTGCCAAAACTGGGTAAGCAGCCCTCCTCCGAAAATAATTGCCCACCCCTGTACTAGACCTTCCCTGTGCTGAAACATAGGTGCCTCTTCTCCCACCCCCCCCCACTGCTATGCAGGAACAAAGCCTCTATTCTGCTTGGCTCTGACCACCAATAGTTCCTCCAGGTCTGCTTGGATCTTGGGAGATGAATTTGTTTTGGAAAGTGAACCTCCTGATTCTTCCAGATAGATGTGGCAGAAAAACCCACTCCCAAACAAAAGAATTCTGAGATTTTCCTTTCTGCAGGGGAAGCAAAGGGAGATATTCTGGGCCTATCATGAGTCCAGATCACAGTCCCCTCTCCCCCCTGACCCTTCTACTAAAGCTCATCTTTATCTTTAATAGAAGGAATGCATGTAAGATTGATCCCTCCTGAAATACTTTTTGGTTGTTCTGTCAGAAAATGGGGTTTGTTCCTCCATGAAGTAAGCTACAGTGCTCAGGCCCAAGCCTCAAAGATGCCCGCAAATCAAAGCAGGTTATGCTATTTGTGTGCACTGGCTCTAAATTTCTAGGGCAGGGGTGGGCAAAATATGGTCTGCAGGCCATATCCAGCTTACCAGTTTGAACCTATCTGGCTTGCTGGACGCTGCCAAAAGCTTGAGGAGGGAGGGCTGTGCCCTGCACTGCACTGCTCTGCTCTGCTCTGCTGCAGCCCAGGCCAAGCAGCACGCAGACTTCTGAAGGTGAGGCATACTTTATGTGGTTCAGTTATAAATATAACTTTAGTATTCTAGGGACTGAAATGACTTAGAAATATTTCTTCCTTTTACCAAAATGAGTTACAGAGAATTTCGCACTGGATGTTTATTGGTACCTTAGTCCTCTAAAAGCTGGAATTTCACTTGCACGACACAATTCATCCCAGCTCTTATCTGGTAGCCACGATGGATCTGGGTTCTTGTATTTGTTCTTGAGACCTACTCCTCCAGTTAATAAGAACATAAATTCTTGAAGTTCTATGTCTTTCTTAGCCCTGCATTCAGAAGTAATGCCAGATAATGCTCAGTTATATGAAAAAACAGTTTGACATACCATAACATAAAAATTGTTTTAAAAGAATTATGCTCCATTATTATCTAATAATATTTATATTACAATAGCACCTGAGATCCCTGGATCAAGATCAATTTAAGAGTGGAAGAGCAAACATACAATCACACGTACAAGTTCCCTTTTATGCTTAAATCAGTGGTGGTCAACCTTTTGGCCCCATGGACCAGGTGAGTGACCTGGGGTTGGTGAGTGACCTGGGGTTGGTCTGTGGGCCTGACTGAGCCTTGCAAGCCAGGCCCAGGCCCTGAGGCCCAACACCAACCCCTCCCTGCTCCATGCACAGGGATTGGGTCCCAGGGGCCTTTTATCACCCCTTCCCAATCTTTCACACTGGTAGTAGATTCTGGGGCCTGGTGCCACCCCTGCCTAGCCCTGCACACTGGGATCAGGTGCCCATCCAATATGCAGGGCCTAGGGCTCCCCACAGATCTGGAAATCCGGCAGCAGGGGAGTGGTGCCAACAATCCCCCACCGCCAATTTCTGGACCTGGGGGAGCTCTGAGGGCTGGATGACATGTGGGTCAGGGGTTGAGCACCCCTACTTTAAATGACTGAGAAATTAAAAAAAAAAAATCAACTCTGCCTATCAATAATAGACTGGTTTCTTCTGGGTTTTATGGCAAAAGCGGGTCTTCTACAAGACACTTGAAGAGGAGAAGATAGTAGCTTTATAAATCAGTTCAAGAAGGGTGTTGAGTCTGTAAGGTGACAACATGGAAGGAGGTGTGGACACATTTGTTTGAGAAGTTGGCAAATGCTGTATATTAATACGGTTTACAGTTAAGCAACATAAATAACTCCCCAATATTTTTAGAAACATATACATAAAAATGCTACTGTAATGCTTCCAATAGAGCAGGGGTTTTCAACCTTTTTTAACAACTGTACCCCTTCTGTCTCAAAGTTTCAGCTCATGTACCCCTTTATATTTTTTTCATTTTTAACGTTACTGGCAGGAGCACACAGAGCCCTCTCAGCATGGGGCAGCCACATGGGCTTTCATGGCGCAAGGGGAACCAGCCGCAGCCACTGGTTGCTGGGCTGGGGTAATAACACTATGGCACCCCTGGTTGCCCCTAGGCAGGGCTGGCTGCACATGTCAGACAGGGCTAAATGGCGCCCTGTGTCATGTCTGGCAGGGCTGGGGAGGGAGGCGAAGGCAGCAGTGCCCCTCTACAGGCTGCACAGGTGCCACTCAGTGGGATACAGGGTGGGCTCATATGTGACGGTGGCAGCAGGAGCCTACAAGCAGCCTCGAGCCCTCACAGTGTCCCAACCAGGAGGCCTTAGGAGGAGTCCTGCAGCCTCTGGCAGAGGCATTGTGGGCCCGGGTGTGAGGGACGGGCAGGGCTCAGCAGCGAAGGAAGAAGTCACTCAAGTGCAGGAGGAAGTAAGTCAGTGAGTGCCTCAGCCCCTGTAGGACAGTGTGGCTCCTCCCTGCTCCAAGCTGTGCCCCTCACCCATGGTGCAGCTCGGCTGGGCTGTGAGCACAGGTGTTGCTGGCCACCAATGCTGTGCTCCAGCTGGAGCTTCTCCAGGGTGCCCCAAAGGGCCACTGTGGCTGAGCTGGAGCCCTGCTGAGGAACTGCGCCTTTGCCGCTGCCTGCCCACCCCCCGGGGCCAATGCCATGGGGCTTGCCCGGGCTGGCACAGAGCTGCACTGGGAGGGACAGCCCCTTGTGGGTTAACGTACATCCTGGCTTCCTGCTGGGCTTGGAGCTGCCAGATGTGCTGGGCCCGACCCCCGCCTCCCATGTGAAATGCTTCCTTTTAATAAGGGGAGGGAGTAACAGCAGAGTGCCCAATGCAGCTGCCAGCTCCCACAGCTGCACCCTCTCCCGGCTGGCCCTGGGCCCACACAGTGCTGCAGTCCTGCCCCTCTCCCTACCTACCCCACCTCACGAAGCAGCTCTGCACCCACAGTGCAGGGGGCTGGGGCTCGCTGTATGTATTGGGTGGGGAAGAGGGTGGGCTGCTGCTCTCATGCTGACTCTGCCTCTGAGACAATCAGGAGAGTGAGCTGGGGTGGGAGGCGGGGAGGTGCCATGGTGTGTAGCATGGGGTCGGTGGCATCTGGTGGATCCCCTCCCCTCCCCCAGGTAAGAGGCAAAGTGCGAGAATGTGCCAGGGGAGACATCACTGCCACATCCCACCTGGGGCACACTCCATCCCTGCGCTCTGTCCCTGCTCACACACCCACATACCCCCTACGACCTTTCTAAGTACCCCTGGGGGTATATGTACCCCCGGTTGACAATCCCTGCAATAGAGAATTTATGCTTCTCTTTCCTCTGCCATACACTACACACACACACACACACACACACACACACTGCGTGGTAGGATCAGCAGCACTTTTTCATCTTTGCCACGGAGAAATGGGCAAAGACACAAAAGTGAAAAGAAAGGAGAGGTGAAGAAGAAAAGTTTTACAAGGAGTAGTGATATATGTTAAGCAAAGCTGTTGAAAAGAGAAACCACTGCCTTGGAGAATTTTAACCTGAAACATTTTTTAAATAATGGCAATTGTTATTTAAAAAAATAACTGCAACCCGATTACACAGTATCATCCCAACTCTTTCCAAAGGGCAATAAAGACCTAATAGAAGGAAGTGAATAAAATATTTGGGGGAAGCATAAGCATTCACTTCATGACGAGGCTTTAAAGATGGAATCATCAAAACACATGCAGAAGTATTCCACCATTTGCACATTATTCCAGTAAAAGAGAAATGTTTTGTATTATGAAGAAATTCCAAAAAATATGAATCTTACATGAGAAGGTTACAGCATAGTAAAAAGGAAAACAGCAGCTTGTCCTTCTCAAACAAAGAGCGACACACATTACAATACAAGTTGTACGTGAAGTGATCATTCAAGTAACGAAGGCGCTTCTCCAAAATTTTAGATTTATTACTAAAAGAAAAGAAAGAGAAAGAGAATATGAGTGTTTATATTGAATCAATGAAGCAAATAAAAGAAAATAAAAATAATTTTGAAAAGGTTTGTAGGATGTAGACTAGGGCTGAAATTGTTCTTAAGGAAACTATGCACCTAGCTCTCACTGAATTCAATTACATTCAAAATGAGTTAGGCATCCAACTCCCTAAGTCTTTTCTGAAATCCCAGCCAAAATGATTTACTGAAATCACTATCACGCTTGGGTATCAGAACTCTTACCACTTCATCATAGTTTTAATTCAACACCAGACTTGGACTCTTCCGAGGCACACTGCAACAGATATCTATAAGGAGTGTTATTTTTTGAAAAACATGATTACAAAGGGAACCATTTGGGATGCTTGGTGCAGGGGCACACTAAGCTGAAAGTAAAGCACTGTTTTGTTTTGTTTTTTCACGCCTGTAATGCAGCCTGCATTTACTAAATTACTTATACAAAAATGGTGGGTGAACCAGTCAAGCTAAGAATTGCATTTCTTTTTTTAGTAAAAGATCTATTGTATTTGAAGAGCCTGTGCTTAGAGAGAGATGAGTCAGTGGCTAATGGTCCCTTTCCCATGACTGGTAGGGCTTATCTAATTCACATCTTAGGGAAGTTGAACCCATCCTGTCCACACTATTGGTAATCAAATTGAAGAACTGTTACCAGGCATGGGTGCTGACAGACAAGGTAAAAAAAAAACAAACTCCAGTGCTTTCCTGAAAGAGGAATCCTTTCCTGCCCAAGTGCAGGGGGGCTGGACCTAATGATTTGTAGGGTCCCTTCCAGCTCCTAAAAAAACTATGAAACTATGAATCACATCAACTTGACCCAGCCCCCCACTGTCTGTATAGCTCATGTGCTTCAGCAGGGCATTTTGGTGCTTTTATCTAATAGCTAACTGAATCAGCTTGTGACAGGGGGCTTTCCCTGGGCCATATCTCCACGTTGGCCCACCCACCTGTCTAGGGCAGTCTGCCCTGACTCACCTGCCATGACTTGAATGTTAATATCATTTTTTAAGTGGGAGGCTGCTCTTACACTACCCTGACGCTAGGGGGGCATTATTCATGGCTCTGACCTCCCCTGCACCATGGCCTGTGCCTTGCAGATGTTTCTCCAGCTGGCTGGCACTGGGACCAGAGCTTCGGAGTCTCACCGGGACTCCCACTCCGCACCGGAGCTCATGGTCCCAGCGCCCTCACGTTGGGTTTTTTCACTCTGAGTAATTCTGCCCTCTTACCAGGGTCACTCCTCTCACAGCCCCCTCAACCAGACCACTCTTCACTCAGCCCCATCACCAGGTTCACTCTTTTCACTTGGCACCCTCACCAGGGGTCCACTCTTATCACTGGAGCCACACTCAGATCCCTACTGCAACCTCAGGTCTCTCAATGAGCCTGGGCAGTGCTCCAGGTCCCTCCCCTGACCTGGGCCCTGCCTCAGGACTTCTGTGAGCCTGGGCTCCTCCTGCATGATCTCAAACCCACCAGGGATGTGGGGCTGAGGTTAGGAGGCATTCCATACTCACCTTCCACTGGGGAAGGTGCCTGGCTTGGCATTTCTGAGGGGTTACCCCAGCACAGGCAGCCCCACCAGGCCTTCCTTCCCCAGCAGGGTGCAGTTTTCTGTCATGTCCAGGTCATGGGGCATCCTCCTTCCCCATAGCCCCAGCTCTTACCTCCAAGATGTTCCAGGAGCTGCTCAGCCTGATGTTGCCTCCTTGTCTGCCAGCTACAAACTGCTGGGCCAGCCTGTGTATCTGTGCCCTAAAATAGCCACCCTAATCAGGCACCTGGTGGCTGCCTGCTTCCAACCCTTAAAATGGCAGGGACCCAAAGGTGCCCTGCCACACAGCTATTAGATAAAAGCACCAAAAAGTCCCGCTGAAGCATGTGAGCTATACAGACACTCGGGAGCAGGGTCAAACTGACATGATTGAATCAGTTATTAGAAAAAAGTGCCAAAAAGCCCCACTGAAGCATGCAAGCTATACAGATGCTGGGTGAGCTGAGTCAAACTGACATGGTTCCACTTCTGGGCATGCACTGTGCTTGGTGCAGGGGCATGCTAAGCTGAAAGTAAAGCGCTGTTTTGTTTTGTTTTTTCACGCCTATAGCACAGCCTGCATTTACTAAATTACTTGTACAAAAATACACCTGCAACCACTTGTAGAAAAAAATCATACCACCAAAATTTGAGGATGTTTCTGAAAATGTTTCGATACAAAGAAGAAGAAAACCTGATTTAAATCCTTTAAATGAAGGGAGATGTTGGTGAGAAGAGAAAGAAATATATGGGATTTTACCCAGAAATATTTTATTTACCTGTCATGAATTGAGTTGATAAAGAGGTTAACAAACCAACTGAGAGAGTACTGGTACATGGGATCAATGTTAGCCAGGTCTGCAATACTGAAGAAGAGCACTGATGAATGCTTTGCAATGGGTCTATAGCCTTCTCGAGATTCTGCTAATTTAATTTCTGTTTTCTCTGCAACCTAAAAAATGACACACAAGTTAAAAAAAAAAGCTTTTAATATTTCCCTTTGTACAGAAATAGTTATTACTACACACTCATTATTAAAATTAACTTATTGTGCACTGTACAATACATTTTCCATGCTCAGATATGCTTGCCATCTAAGGCCTCAGTCCTGGAGCGAGCCTTAGGTGGGTCATACAAGGGCAACTTGACTTCAGTGACATGGAGTGGAGTGGAGCCAAAGACAGAAAGGCCAAGACAAAACTAGTCAAGACAGTTCCACCAAGTCACTTGGCATAAGACGCATCAAACTCAACAATTATGTCTTTAAATATGCTTGGATTTCAAATTTTAAAACAATCATTCTAACAGTAGGTATTCTACAATAGTCACTTTTTATAAATATATTATATGAAAACAAAGAAACTAGAATACATTTAATATAAAAGTTGAGAGTTATTTGTTTCTTATATATTGTAGCTTTAAAATTGCTAGGTACTAATAAATTAATTGCTAGATAACAGCAGGTGTTAGTTCTGCCAGTCTACATCCCTATGCTGACATGCTCTAAACCAAGGGCTGTGAAGATGAGTGTGGAGAAAACAGTACAACCCCATCCCAGTTATTTTTATATCCCTAACCTAGATGTGTGCATTTTGTATGGGAATTCGGCTCAGTAGTTGAGAAGAAGGAATGGGTTGAGGCAGGAGGACTGGGGCTGGGAAAAGATTACTATTATAGGTGGCAAATGCCTCGGCCCCTTCTCCAAAGGACAGAATTCCTGTATAAATTAGTGCCGATTATCATCACAATGGAACCCAGGTTTAGAGATAACCCTCTGCTATTTTCGCTGCAGGGCACAATTCTCCACAAATAGGGTATTTCAGAGAAAATTCAGAAATGGCACCTCAGTGAGTCTCTTCTTCCCAAAAGGTTTCTCCAAAACTGGGGAACAAAATAACCTGCTATAATTAGCATATATAGCTATTCTCAGTGTGCACAGCCTCCTCTACTACGTCCTGTGGAATTATTATTCTCATTTTACTTATTGGAAAATTAACATACAGACAGGTGAGATTCACCTGTGACTAACAAGATGAGTTTGAGGCAGTTGCAGTATTAGAACTTAGAAGTTACTGGCTTGGAATTTCATATCCAGTTGCCTAGGTAATTACTGTCTCCTTTAAAATGTTGCCTTCTATTAGTTTAACACTTAGACTCTTACTTTATCTTAATATAGAGCCCAATTCTGAAGTCCTTACTTTTTACTCCATCCTTATTCGGGCACAACTCCTTTTGAAGACTGATATTTGCCTTGTTAGGGCCGGATTAAGCCATAAGAAAGAACTTCAGGATTGATCCATAGTTCTGTCTTATGAGTTGATCTTACCATTTCACACGCAGAGTGTTTTCTTTATTTCACTTCTAATTCATAGTCTTCCTGCCAGGAAGCAAAGCTTTAGGTTTTTACACAGCACATTATCCAATTTAATTTTGGGAGCACTCTATTAATTTTAAAGCAAAGTTTAACTTTGCTTACTTGTTGCTTCTTAGTGATTTCATTAGACATTATTTTAGCAGAGTCTAAGACCATAATTGCAGTCTCATCTTCCAGTATATTCCCTTCCGATACTTGTAAAGTCTCTAAAATTTTCTTCTCAATTTCTTTTAGCTGTTTATTATTGGCCGCAGACTGAAGGATGAGAGCATTCCTCTCCTCTTCTAATTCTGGTCTAAAAAAACCAAAACATATACCCAAGTTAATGTATTACACATTTTGATACCTGTATACAGTTAACCTATATTTGTAAAATTAATATTTGCCAAGATTAGTGCTCATTAATCATGTTATATTAGTGCTACAGAAAGCAATTGCTTTTGGAGATTTTGTGTAGTATTCCATTAATTTTTTTCCATTTAGAGGAAGTCACTTAAATTATATTACAGCTAATTCTCACTATTCACTCTGTTTTAACAAGATATTAAGGCCAAAGCTAGACATTTGGGGTAATTTTTTTCTTATATTTAGTATATTTCCACTAACTTCAATAAAGTTATGTAATCATAACAGAATTTGTCCTCTAAATCCTTTATGGGCTCTAAGTGCTTATCATCTATTTGGATGCCTAAACATGTAACAATTTGAACTCTGTGCTTTAGTTTTATGGTCTAAAACTTTATACTCAGACTCCTGGAAATGTCAGCTAATATTGATTTTCTTGTACTATAACACTTGTATCTGAGTAAATATTTGCACAAGTATTGTACTGCCTGTGCTTATCATATGGAATGTTCATTAAATGTAGTCAGATTTTTAACAAGTGAACTCTAACATGTTTAACCAGGCAATCTGTAAAAGACAGGACCATCAGAAAATCCAATTAAATCTGTTTCTATGTGACAACAAATAGGAACTGGAAAGATTTTCAGTTACCATCAAAAATTAAAAAATAAAATAATTTAAAAATCCAATATCCTTTTTACATGTGCAAAGTTATGGACTAGATAAGAAAACAATAATTATGGTTGTGCAGTGGTAAAGTTAAATATCCATATAGTTTTCCAAATCTCATCTGAATCTGAAAAATACTGATGGCCCTTGCACACATCTTAGATAAGACAACTGAAAAACCAAGGCCTCTGGTTACACATTACATATAACATGCAATTAACCAGTTAACTGCGCAATAAATTTAAACTGACCACACATGCAAAGTAAGACCAGTCACAAGTGTAAAGTAATTATCACACAATTAACCAGTAAACTGTGCAATACATTTAGACCAGCCACATGCCATAAAAATGGAAAGAGCTATAAAACGAACCAATGAGCTACAAAAGTTAGTGCTTTCGAAAAATGTGTAACAATTCTATATCTGGTTTCTATCTAGCTTTAATTTGAACATGTAGCAGGGCCCCAAGATTATCTTATTAAGGACCACTTAGAACAAAGAACAATTTTGTTTTTGATATAAACATATATTTTATTTGTTTATAAAGCTGCTAGTTTAAAATATTTAATTTGGTTATTTTCAATAAAACACTTACCTTTCCTTTGCAACAACAATACCTAGCAACTGGTCTTCAAGTCCCTCTGGAGTTATCATAAAGTTGAGTAAAGAAACTTTTGTAGCTAGTTCAGGCAAATAATGTGGATTTCTTAGTTTTGTAGTAATAAAGAATCTGAAATCACTGGAATACTCAATAATTGCCTCACCAAGCCTGATACAATCCATTCCCCCTAAAGTTAAGAGAATAAATATTTGTGTGAGTTATTTATGTGTTTATCTCAGCTATTTTCACAAAAATATTACTTCTGTGATCAAGTAAAAGCAAAATTCTTCCTAATAGCAAATCAAGCATGCTCAAGTGGTAAGCAATCCTAGCCCCAAGGAAGACAATACTGAAGTCTACACAGACTCCCATGAGGTTAGGAATTTACTTGTAGGTGAGAATAATAGTGTTTCATATACTGCTAATAGTGTTTCATATACTGCTGCTCTACTCTACTTTTAGTGTCTGTATAAAAATTGGAAAATAAGTTTTTTTAGGTTTGTTCTCAATTTTCCTATTCCTATATCATTGTAACTACGCTAAATCATACAATAAAGCAAGGTATCAAAATGCATAAATGGCATCCTAAGCAAGAACATATTTTTATTATAATCCAGGTGTCCTGATGCTATTTGTTATGCTTTTTTTAATCTTAGGTTGTTACATTCTCCTAGAAGTCCTCTTATTTGCCTGTGAAGCATCATGTATACTGACGACCTGGGGAAATAACAACATATAGTAGGGGACAACAGCATATAATCTATAATAAACTGCCAGTCAGCAGCAAGAAGGTCCTCTGAGAGGGGAGGTTGTTCATGACACAGCTTCAGACATATTCTCTTCTGACTATTCAGATGGAAGCTTTAGACGGGTGGTTTCTGCCCAGTGAGTGCCTGGAGCTCTGGCTCCAGCTCTGCCTGCCTTCTGCCCACTTGGCGAGATGAGCATTCCCTGCGGGGGAAGTGGGGAGGAGGGGAGCAGGTGGAAAGCAGCTGGAGCTGGAACCAGAGCTCTGTGCACTGGGCAGAAGCCATGGGGCTAAACTTCCACCTGCCCACCCAGAGTCATGTGGCAGCAGTGGTGGCAGCTGGAGGTGAGGGAGGCAGAAGAGCTCCAGTGGCCCTGGCCAGTGCACAGCCTGTGGTGTGGCTGCAGCTGGCAAGTGCTACACAAGACAGGGTGTGCGGCAGGGGCTGCAAGCCCCTGTGGCGGGTGGCTGCTAGGCTCTGAGCCTGCTGGCATCTCTGAGCCAGCCTGGGCAGTCCACTGCTGAGCCAGCTGCTGCCCGTGCCCTGCAGCCCGGGCCAGCCCCTGTGCGTCCACCTTCAACAGCACTTGCAGACTGGCCCAACTCAGCCCACAGCCCCAGCACTGCAGCTGTGGTGAGGTAGGTGGATGCTGGTGCCATGGTGGTCAGTTCTGGCCATGCCCCCACCCCTGCTGCTGGAGTGGGGAGAGGGGGCAAATGCCTGATGGGCTGCTACACCCGGGTCAGGCAGACCTCAACTACAGTCCCCCAGTGGGAGTGGGGGAATAAATACTAGGCCCGTGCTAGTCAGAAGCGATCCAATCTGGCTTTGGATCCAGCTGCTTCGGATGGCCGCGATCCAATCCAGATCTCCGGACTGGGTTCCCGCCTCGATCCGGCCGAAGCGGCTCGGAAGCTTCAGAGCCACCTTGGAGATCTGGCCTTAAGGTATAATGGGGAATCAATTAAATATCTATAACTTTGTTGTTTTTTGTATGATTTGGATGAAACTTGCAGGGATGGTAACCTCTGCTGAGAGCATGAAGCCTGCCAAGTTTCAAGAAGATTGGTGCAGGGGTTTGGGGGGAACTGTACCCCAAATTCTTGAAAGCCAAGCTCCTGTCATGGCTGTGTGTTACAACACAGGGGGGTCAAAACTGCAGGGCTGGTAGCTCTTACTGAGGCCACAAAGCCTGCCAAGTTTCAAGGAGATAGGTGAAGGGATTTAGGGGGAACTGCCCCTCAAGCTGCAGACAAGCAAAACTCGTGCCATGGGTGACACTGCGTGTGTTAAGGTGCAGCAGGGTGACGGCTGCAGGGATGCTGGCCCCGGTGTGATGCCTGCCAGCTGTGGAAGAGATCGGTGCAGGGGAGCTCTGGGGCCCTGCACCCCTAGCTGCTGACAGACAAAACTCGTGCCAAGACTGTCTGTGTCTTGGGGCAGTTGATTGTCTGTATTGATTCTTTCCTCTCCTTAGCCTGGTTTTGTAGGTGTTAATTGTTGCTCGTTAAGTCATTATGCAGTAGCTAGGTCCTGTGTATTGAACTGGTCCCTGAGTCCCTGGTCCTTGAGTGAATCATGATTGACTGACTGGTAGCTGGTAACACAGCAGCTTAGCACCCAGGCCTGCAGTAGTGTCTTCCCTGCCCCAAGACAAAGAAAGTCAGTCCCACAAGCACCCATGGCACGAGTTTTGCTTGTCCGCAGCTTGAGGGGCAGTACCCCCAAGCCCCTACACCGATCTTCTTGAAACTTGGCAGGCTTCATCCTCTCTGCAGAGTCTACCACCCCTGAAAATGTAATCCAAATCAGACAAAAAACAACAAAGTTATAGATATTTAATTGTTTCCCCATTATACCCTATGGCCGTATCTCAGGGGCGGCTCGGAACTGCTTCGGGAAGCCTAACGAGGCCAGCACTTCGCCCCACATGTGCTGCTTCGGACCCTGAAGCCTCCAAAGCTTCTCCAGATCCAAAGCTCCGTCCAAAGCCTCGCAGAGCCCTAGCAATTTGTGGCACACCTACCAAAGGTATGGTCTGCACTGGACTAGAGCCTCCCTAAAGAAAATTTCTGATAGTCCTCTTCTCCAGAGGAAGGTTCTGCATCCTTATCTCCAACACCAGGTATCTTACTAGAGAAACAAGTTCACAGCAACCTGTCATGGCAGCAGACTGTATGGAGTCTACTGCTGCAGGTTTTGTGTATACAGTTCAAAATCATAAGTGCTTTATGCAGTTGTAAAACTCTACAGTGTATTTGGGATTTTCCAGGTGCACCCTAGGAGATTTCATAGATTTCATAGACATTATGAAAGGCTGGAAGGGACCTTGGAAGATCGTCGAGTCCAGCCCCCTCCCCCCGGGGCAGGTTAAAGGATCCCAGCAAGATAGGTGTCCAAATGTTTCTTAAAAGAGTCCAGAGTAGGTGCTTGCACCACCTCTGGAGGGAGTCTATTCCAGGCCTTGGGGGTCTCGGACAGTAAAGAAGTTTTTCCTTATGTCCAGCCTAAAATGGCAATGGAGGAGTTTGTGACCGTTTGACCTTGCCATCCCTTGGGGTGCTCTGGTGAACAGGCATTCCCCCAGATCCTGATTTACACTCCCCATATGCTTATAGGCAGCCACTAAATCACCCCTGAGCCTATGCTTTTCTAGGCTGAAGAGTCCCATGACTCTCAGCCTCTCAACATAAGGCCTGTTCTCTTGCCCTCTGATCATGCACATGGCTCTCCTCTGGACTAACTCAAGCTTTTCCACATCCTTTTTAAATTGTGGAGCCCAGAACTAGGTGCAGTACTCCAGCTGTGGCCTCACCAAGGCCTAGTACAGCAAGAAAATGGTCATCTTGTGGTTAATCATGACCCCCAAGTCCCTTTTGACTGTGGTGCTAGCAAGCGTAGCACTGCCAAGCCTATAAGCATGATGAGGGTTTCCCCCCGCCCCTTGCGAGGTGGAGTACTTTGCATTTTTCGGTATTGAATGTCATCAGGTTTTTATCCGCCCATGTATACAGTTCAAAATTATAAGTGTTTTATGCAGATTTTCCAGGTGCACCCTGGGAAAGATGGCTGAAAATTCATACTTCCCTTCATGACATGTTTCAATACAAAACAAATACTGTTATTTAAATATGAAAACATTCTTTTTTAAAACATGTTCTCTTTTTAAAAAAGAGAACATGTTCATGTTCTGCCCTATCTCCACTATCTTATTGACTTTTCACCTTTTTTATTTTTTAACTGGAAAGGGAAAAAACAAATAGGAAAGGAAGTAGAATGATGGGAGGAGGATCAAAAATGAATTACTGCCCAGTTTGTTTGCTTTATTTACACCTTTTCCCAACCTCTCCAGAAGGAAAAGGCAAGTGAAATTCAGCCTCAAATCTGGGCCTGTTCTTCATAATTGCCATCTTCTGACTTTAGGAGGACATTTACATAAAAAAACTGCATCCTTTGAAAAAGCTGCAATTTTTCCAAGCTTTTGCAAAAAATCAGTGCAATAAATATTAGTGATTATTAAGTTAAAACATGCTTTAAAGATGTTTTGCAGTCTTCTATACTTTGGGGAAAAGAAGATAATCAATGTCAATAGGAGTCTTACCTGTATGGAGTCAAGCCTCCTGCATTTAAATCTACCACTTCTGTATGATGCGAATTGCAAGAAAAAAAAATCTATAAAGTGATATTAATGAGCTTTAAAAATAAAAAATCAAAATCAAAATTTAAAAGGCTATTATCAAATTACCTTCCTCTGTTCACAGGCAGTGATAGTAAAGAAAGTAAAAAATATATATTAACTGTTACAATATGTCAACAGAGGAGCATTAAAGATGCATACATTGGGACTCATAACTAAAGTTCTTGTACCTTGTTTAAAAGTTTGTCTAAGCAGCAGGGGTTCGAGTGATGGATCTAGTTCTTCTCCAACATTTTCTAGCAGAAGCGGAGTTCCAAATTGAATGCAGTTCTCCAAAGTTCTCATGTAGTCTGTATCTGTGAGCTTAATAACACTCAGCTGGTTTTCTTTCTCAAAGTTCTTTATCCATTTATTTGCTTGACCCTGTGGATCAATCATTAATGGCCTAGAATGTACAGGACAAAAATTCTGTTCAGTATCTTTGAGTACAAATGCCTTTTAAGTCTGCAATTATTTTTACCTTGGACTAGCTAGAAAAAAAGTAAGACATGCTCTAAAAGCATGCGTTTAAAAGGATGAATATCCAGTGAATATTACAGTCATATCTGAAATAATTTAAAATCCAGGAAAAATATGTTCATAATCTTTTCTGAATGTAGACTAGAGTCCAGAACTTTTTTCCAGCCTCTCTCAGCATTGCCAGGTAGGTGTACAATAATTATAGTATTTGTATGACAATTTCAACCCTTGTACGATATTAAAAGTGTTCAAAATGTATGATGATTTTTGAGGCAGTTAATTGATACAGCATATGCAAAACCCAAGTCACTCTCAGGGAGCCTTAATCAATTTTCAGCTTCACTGTCAGCACTTTCTTATGACTGCTTGCCTTGAAATAAAATGCTTCAACTTTGATGATCCAGTTCTCACTCACTCATTGGAAACTTAAGAGTGAGCAATATAAAGTAAATAAGAAGGAGGCTTATTTGCATACTTGCTTGCATAGTGTTTTTTTCAGTATACAATTGTTTTTCAGAAAATATGATAATTTGAGCTTCTAATACGATAATTTCATATTTAAGACCTGACAATGCCCATTTTCCCATGAGAATTCTCATTAGTTAAAATTGTTTTATGTTCATTTTCACAATATTTGACTCTCTAATTTAAACAAGAATTGCCAGTAATTTGAAACTAACAGAACAAGTATCTCACAGGGTCTGGGAGGGTGATCCTATTCAATGGATCTTTACCCATTGCATTAGCTGAGGTTACATTCCATACTTTTTTGGAAGAAAGCACAAAAGTTGTCAGATATATTAAGTTTCCCCCTAATAGCATCTCTCAGAAGGGATCATAAATAGTAAGCTAAGTGTCTTCTTCCAGTGGGTAATAGTTTCCAAACCAGAATTAGTAACAGAACATTATTAATGCAGATTGTAATTTGTTATTCATATTTAATGACATTCTATGCAAAAGGCAATAGGCAGACCTAGGATTTTGAAAAGGGGGATGCAGATGGTGTGGTGCATCATCACATATAACACAATGCATATTTTTATCAAGTTAAAAAGATACTAGAAGCTTTAATAATAAAGTAGTGGTCTAGGGTTATATTGCTTAACTTAAGATTGGAGCAAAAACAAATATAAATACAGTAAAAGTTCTGTTATCCAGCATCCATGGGGAATAGGGGTGCTGGTTAATCAAATATGCTGGTTATTTGAGAGCTTATTTTCAGCGGGTTGGAGGCGTCTGCTGGTGCACCAGGGCTTTCACTCCCTGGTGTCAGTGTGCCAGGGGACAGGGAGGGAGGCCCTGTGCAGGCTGCTTGCCCTGGGCTGTGGTCCTCAAGGAAGAAGCGGGACTTAACGAAACTGAAAGTGCCACTGTGGGACTTCCAGTTTTGCTTTTGCTGCATCAATTCACTGCCGTAAACAACGGATGCCAGTTAATGGAGCATTCCAGATGGTAAAGTGGTGAATAACACAGCTTTTACTGTATATTGGAATGTATATTAATTAATCTGTCACACCACATATTATGTATAACTGCCCCCCACCCCCCACAAGCTAGGAAAAAAAATCAAAATATATTATTTCATTAGTCCTGCAATCATTAGAATTAAATGGACATCTCTTTTTCAGATTCGTAAAACAAAATCTAGCCTTCTTGAGTATCTTGACAGGGCATCCAATGCTTCACTGAAAGTTATTTCCATATCTTAGTTAATATTTTTAGAGTTAAAAACTGTCTGCAGGGCTGTGAAACAGGAGTCACATTACTAGGAGCAGCTACCAGACAGCAGCAATGCAGCTGAACATTAAGACCATTTAAAAGGAGAGAGGGTTGTTAACACCTGCAGAATGAAGATTTTAGAAAGAATCAAGTAGATTATATTGAGCCATGAAGTCAATTGACTCCAACACTGCTGCCTGAATAGAAATGCTGCTGCCACTATCAAGTTGGTTTTAAAAACTTTGGGTGGAGCATGGAACCAAAGCAGGATGCAAGTGCATCAGTGCACCCCCTGCTTAAGTTGGACCCAACTCAGCAAAATAAAGCTTAAATTGGATGTAAAAAGGCAAAGACCTTGGCATGACCTTCTGTACAGATGTGGATTTCACCCAAGAATAAACATCTCTAAAACATGTTAAAGATTTATGGGTTTCCTGGTAGCCATAATGGTAACGCTGAAGTTTTTGCTTCTATACATTTCTAAAACTGTTTAAAAGGAGACGCTACTTGACTTTTCTTGGCTGTTTCATTAGTCAACTGATTTACTATAAGAAGCCACTGCATATAGTAGAGACATTTAAAAATTAACAGTAGCTGTTTCAAAAGAAAGTTTAAGAACATTATAAGATCTACCAATGACAATTCAAAATGAAGAACTATTTGTAGTCAATAAGGGAAAAAAGTCAGTAATTGCAAATACTAGTTCCAATACTGTAAGATTTTAAGCCCTCCCCATTTCCATTTAAAGGACTGGGAGGTGAGAATGCACAACATGCTTGAGGTATTAGTTTCTTTGTTTCTAGTAAACAAGCAAAATGACATTTTATCTGAAATCTGTTCTTTTAGCAAATTATTAGCTTCTTTGTTACCTACCAGCGTCTGGAGTTATCAACAATCACACCGTTATCTATAGAAAACATGTCTGTTGGCAATCCAGCAATATTCCAGGCTCGGATTTTTATTGGGTCACCAAGGGTTTTACTCAAAGAGAAATTCTCAGAACAAGGGATGTTTTTCTCCTACAAGAAAAAAAAATCTATTCTATATTTATCTTTTATTAAAATACTGCTTCATCATGAAATATTAGCTTATTAAAATGCATAAGAGACACTGCATCAGAGACACAAAGGCAGAGTTTCATAGGTGCATAAGAGTCTAGGTGCAAAGAGTGAAGAAGGATAAGATGTAGAACAGGCATACGAACAACTATTTTAAATAACACTAGTTACTGGTATCTGATTTCTTGTTCTTAGTCTTAGGCACATTCTACTGTGGAATACTCTGAAGTAGTGCCCAGTATACCTGGAGGCAGGTCTCGAAGGTTTACACAAGCAATATCTGAAAGACTCCTTTACCAAAGGTAGTATTTGCTCTGCAAACCTCTACAGTGGCATAGTGCTTAGTGACATGCACAAGCCTTGCACGTATCTGCATAAGACAGAGATGTTTTATGGAAAAGACTGATGTTGCTTGGGCCCTGAAGGACTGAGCTCTGATTAGTGCCGGTGTGCTCTCACTTTTGTGATCTTGTAATAAAATGTGATCTGGTGTAAGATCCAGGTAGACAGTGCTAGTGTAGAAATCACTGTTGCAAATAGAAATGACCGTGTCTCACTTTCATGGTACACATAGAATCAGAGGTGTAGTTAAGAAGGCACACAAGAGCTTCCCATATCCTGCAGTGAAGAAGGCATTAGATAAAGAGCCCAGGATGAACTTCACCCTCAGAGCAAAAGGACCAGCACTTCCTGTTGATGTACAAAGCAAACCAGTTTACTTGTAGATACCCCCAGTTCAATACAACACTTGTAAGATTAAGTCCTGACTCCACCTTATTTGTGACAGAGAGATATATCTGCTGAAGCTGTTGACTTGGGTATTCTGAAAGCCTGCAAGCTGTACCACTGAGAGGTAAAATAAATGACATGCACCAGTCTCAAGGTTGAACTGCTTCCCTGCATGAGAGAAGTTACACCCTTGTTTTATGATATGAAACTGTTTTGGAAGTTCTGTCCATCCTGGTATGAACACAACATCTCTTGACACAGTTTAAGAGTAACTGGCAGGTTCTGCTTATAGGACTTTGCTTCAGGACATTGTTAAGTAGCTTTAAGTTCCCTGAAAACCTTACAGGTCATCAGTATGTACACCCCAGCCAAAAAAAGGAGGCATCAAATCATAGCTGAACTTCCCCTTCCTTTTTAGCCTCAGAAGTCAATCATTTGTAGATTGAACTTCCTTAGGATATGGGATTTCCCCAAAGAGTAAAGGTATTAGTGTGCTGTAAGAGAGAGACTGGAACTCTCTGTCACTCTAAGGCTAGGGACAAACATTAAAAAAGCCTGAGCCTGAATTGATTCAATCTTTGCAGGTTAATTTAACCTGGCTAGATGTTTACTGTGGAGTTGCTTAAAATCTCAGTATCTACACACGTAGCCCTATTGGGCCACAGCAAATTAATAAATGCCACTGTAGGTTAGTACATGTAAACACAAGTACTATCCTATGGCAGTGTTATTTAGTGTACCGCAACGCACATGTAGATGCTGACAGGGCTGGCTGGGGCATGAGGGTGCTTCAGTGCAGGGGCTGCCTGCTAGCTAGCCCAGCACTGGAGCACCCCCATGCTCCGGCCAGCCCCTCCATGGCATGCTGAGCCAGGCTGGAGCAGCCCTGAGCTGACAGGCTGATGCCATGGACCCCCTGCAGCCAGGGCTGCTCTGACCCAGTTCAATGTGCTGTGGTTCTGGGCATAGGTTCAAGTGGTGTGCCTGGGAGCAATGAACTGAGCTGGAATTTATTGCATCACATTAATAGCACGTGTAGATGTACCCACTCACATGGAGAAGCCGCATGATACAGGACAGGGGAGCCTATGATTCACCAAGAGAATGACAAAGACCAGAGGAAAAATACGGAAAAGGAAAGAAAAAGTGTTTTCAAGTTTAAAAAAAGAAAAGACAGAAGATAAAGAAAATGAATTCAGAATCTCAGTCTCAAGCCAAGATGGCAGAGAAGAGCTCAGGTGCTGGAAGCACATATCTCTGGATCTTTGGCATCCAGCACATAGAAAGGTAGGGTACAAATGCATGGTTTGGGTACTGCTGGGGAAAAACATCTTAAAATGCAAGTGCCTGAGGTACATATACACTCCAAGGGAATGCACATATGGAAAAAACATACAAAGGAAAATTTCTGGATTTGGCTCTCAGATTTTAAAGCATTTTGAAAATCTCTGGTATGAAAGCACTATTTAAATCCAAGATAACTTTTCTAACCTTGCACAACTTGCTCCAATCTTTTGTACACTCTTGTCGGAAACCAGCAGTGAAAGCACCCAGATAAGCTATTACTCCAGCTGATACCAGAACATCTCCTGTCAAATTATCATACGTATTTTGAAGATCTTTTGCAGCATTACACCATCTAAGAGCAAAAATACAGAGTAAAAGAAGGTTAAAACCTCTGCATGCACAGTATTAATAATAGTACACATTGTCAACTTGTATTCTCCCTCTTTGTTAAGAGTGAAATTCAAAGGGAGGATTAAAACATTGCATTTATGCCCTTAACTGTTGTTATAAAAACCTCCTGATTTTTTTCCAAGTGTTTTGATGGGTCCCTTTCAAATGACAAAGGTAAACCCTTTGGAAATTTCCAAAGGACCTGAAATATCACAGCCTCCAAATGAGGGGGCAGAAAATTAAAGGCTCAGAAAAACAGAACTTGGATTTGTGTATGTGGCTGACCTTGATTTTTCTCCACCAAGGCCTCCAATCAACTTTTCTGCTCTTTCTAGTTTCTTAGCGCACAGATCCACCTGGAATTCTAGACGAGCCTTTTCTTCAGTTTTTTCCTCAAAGGTTTGTTGCAAAGCTGCCAAACGATTTTCCACTGATGTAAGCTCATCTCTCTTCTGATTTAATAGTGCCAAAGTCTCTGCTAAAGACTGCTGCGCTTCTCCTAAACGGGCTTTCTTAGGAGCAACCACCTATTCAATTAGAATTAATGCACCAATATTAAACCTGTATATTACAACTTTACTGTTGTAGTAAGGCTGGAGTACTGTTGTTGCCATGATGGCCCAGGAAATGTCCAAGAGGCAAGAATTTTTTGTGATATTTATCAATGGACCAACTATAATTGAGAGAACTATTGGACAAGCATAGGCATCAAGGGTGCTGGCAGACATAGGGAAAAATAAACAAACCACACTTTACTGGAAGCAGCAGCACATTAGTTCGGCTCAGTTCCACAGCATCTGTATAGATCAGGTGCTTCAACGTGGCTTTTTGGCACTTTTAGCTAATCGCTGATTCAATCAGCGATTAGATAAAAGTACCAAAAAAGCCTTACTAAACCGCCAAGTCTATACAGACATTGGGAAAGCTGGGTGCAATGAATGCCTCTTCTGGGCATCTGCTGGGCTCAGCGCAGGAGTACTCCAAGTTTAAAGTAAAGTGCTGTTTTGTTTTTTGTTTCCAGGTCTTCAAGAAGCCCAAGTGTCCTTCATCAGATGGCCTGACCTTGATGCCTGAAAGCTTGTCCAGCAGCATCCCCAACTATGCAGTTGGTCCAATAATAGACATCACAAAATCCTTGCCCCTCAAACTTTAGCTGATACATATGTATGTGCACCAGTAATTTAACATAACACTTTGGGTCAGGATACCAAGGGGATAAAGGAAAAGATTTTGTAACATTAATATCTGGGAAGATACCATGATGATAAATAGAGAAGTGGGTCCTGACATTGTAAATGGACTATACCTTACTGAGTGTGTTAGCTGACCGTCCTCTCTAAGCCTTAAAATATATTCAGTTTATCTCACTTGAATAAAGAAAATAAATATTAACCAGGCTCCGAAACTTATGCACCTAAGAAAGAAAACTGCTACAGAAGCAGCAAACATAATATGGTGATGCCTGCCAAAGACTTGGAACCAATATCGACTATGACAACAGCAATAGCACTATTAATGCCAAAAATATCACAGGGAAATAGATGATGACTACAGTAAACGGAAATGTGTGTGCTTTTTAAATTTCTTTCTCTATGTTAAAAAATCTACATAAAAAACCTCGAACAACATGGTTTCTACATATCTTCCACTAAGCAAAAAAAATGCTTCATGTATACTATAAATTATTTTCAATTTATAAATGGCAGTTTAGGCTGCATCATTTGAAATAAAAGCACACAAATCATACTCTTTTAAGCTTCCTATTAAAATGGACATAGATTGTGATGCAGGTTCTATTTTATTAACTATCGCCGCTCACAGCTTTCCATTTGATCTGCCCTCTAAAAGCTTGACCACTCACAAGCATGGACTGTCTGGACCATGCAATTTAAGATGGCCTCTTTTATATATGTAACTGCTACTACAGTTTTAGATAGAAGTCGAAGTTCTGCATGTCAGTCTATAAGTTATTTGTACCTTGCCCCTATCAAATCTGACAGGTATCTGCTTTCTCATAAACAATCTGCACAGAATTAATTTACTCTGGGCTTCTTACATTTTAAATTAATCAACCTTCATTTAGTTTCTGACAAAGAGTCTTTCAGTTTCAGATTAACTGCAATCATAATACAAAACCTAGATTTGCACCCCTCATATGTATGTGGTTTCCAGGGGGGTCACTGCAAGTCTGCAGGGCTGGAATCAAAACCATACCTTTGCAACTCTATCATAGACTTCCATTGCCATAATCCATTTACACAAACCCTCAGCTGCTGAAGATGCTTTAGCCACCTTAGGGGGATCAAACTCAGGATTAGTCAGATAGTCAGAACGAATCTTCTGCATGACAGACACCTAGATGATAAAAAACATGACAGCCATATGAAAATGCTATTTATCAAGGGCCCAGTTCTGTACCATTTCTTCACTGGTCTGATTTAGAAAAACCTAGCTTTCTTAAAAGACCTATTGCTTACACATTCCTGGATAGCTAAACCCATGGACAGAGAGACTTTTTATTCAAATAGATGACAAACAACAGCACAGATCCTTCTTCCACCACTGATGAAGAGAGGAAAGAGCATCTTTGCAGACAGGCTCATTAACTTAGTAAGGAGTTAATTAAACTAGCTTTGCCAGGGGATGGAGACCAAAGCCCTGAGGGTAAGTGGAGAAGTGAGTGACCTGGAGGAAGAGCAAGCAGGATTGAAAAACAGGGGAGGTATTCTCATATTTCCTGACAAATCTCTTTGCAGACAGGCTCACTAACCTAGTGAAAAGGGCTTTAAACTAGCTTTGCCAGGGGATGGAGACCAAAGCCCTGAGGGTAAGTGGAGAAGTGAGTGACCTGGAGGAAGAGCAAGCAGGATTGAAAAACAGGGGAGGTATTCTCATATTTCCTGACAAATCAGGCAATTGACTAGTTACAGGTGCCTGTACACGAATGCACAGAGCCTGGGAAAGAAGCAGGAAGAATTGAAAGTCCTTTTGCACAGTCACAGAGCTATGACATGATTGGATTAACAGAAACTTGGTGGGATAGCTTGTATGCCTGGAGCACTGTCATGGATGGGTGCAAACTGTTCAGGTAGGACAAGCAGGGGAGGAGAGGAGGAGGAGTTTCATTTTATATAAAAGAGCTGTATGATTGCTCAGAGCTCCACTATGAAACTGGAGATTAGCCTGTTGAAAGACTCTGGATTAGGGTCAGAGGGGAGAGCAACAAGGGTGATGTTGTGGTGGGAGGGTCTGCTATAGACCACCAGCCCAGGAAGAAGTGGTGGATGAGGCTTTCTTCAAACAGCTAGCAGAAGTTTCCCAATCACAAACCCTGGTTCTCATGGGGGACTTCAATCACCCTGTCGTCTGCTGGGGGAGAGAGCAATACAGCAGTGCACAGGCAATAAAGGACATTTTTGAAGAGTGTTAAGACAACTTCCTGGTGCAGATGCTGGAGCGGCCAACTAGGGGCCGTGCTTTTCTTGACCTCTTGCTCACAAACAGGGAAGAATTGGTGGGGAATGTAGTAATGAATGGCACGTTGGGCAGCAGTGACCATGAGATGATTAAGTTCAGGATCCTGAGGGAAGAAAGGAAGGAGAGCAGCAGAGTAAGGACCCTGGACTTCAGAAAAGCAGACTCTGACTCACTCAGGAAACTCATGGGCAGGATCCACTGAGGAGCCAGTCTGAGGGGGAGAGGAGTCCAGGACAGCTGGCTGTACTTTAAAGAAACCTTACTGAGAGCGCAGGAACAAACCAGCCCAACATGCAGGAAGACTAGCAAGTATGGCAGAAGACCAGGTTGGCTGAGCAGGGAACTCTTTAGTAAGCTAAATCGCAAAAGGGAAGCTCACAAGAAGTGGAAACTTGGACAAACAACTAAAGAAAAGTGTAAGAGTATTGCTCGGACATGTGGGGATGAAATCAGGCAGGGTAAAGCACAACTGGAGTTGCAGCTAGCAAGAGACATGAAAGATGATGAGAAGGGTGTCTACAAGTATGTCAGTAGCAAGAGGAGCATCAGAGAAAATGTGGGTCCCTTACTGAACTGGGGAGGCAACCTGGTGACAGAAGATGAGCACTTCAGCCATTTTTTAAATGCTTATTTTGCCTCAGTCTTCACAGGCAAGGTCAGCTCCCAGACAACTGCACCTGGAAGCACAGTTTGGAGAGGAGATGTGCAAGCAATGGGGGCAAAAGAACAGGTTAGGGACTATTTAGAAAAGCTGGACATATAAAAGTCCATGGGGCCAAACAGGATACACTCGAGGGTGCTGAGGGAGTTAGCCAATGGGATTGTAGAGCCACTGGCCATCATCTTGGAAAACTCATGGCAACCAGGAGAGGTCCTGGACAATTGGAACAGGGCAAATACAGTGCCTATATTTAAGAAAGGGAAAAAGGAGGATCCAGGGAACTACAGACCAGTCAGCCTCACCTCAGTCCCTGGAAAAATCATGGAGCAGATCCTCAAGGAATCTGTTTCTAAGCACTTGGGGAAGAAGGTGATCAGGAACAGTCAGCATGGATTTACCAAGGGCAAGTATTGCCTGACCAACCTGATTGCCTTCTATGTATATGACTAGCTCTGTGGATGTGGGGACACCAGTAGATGTGGCATACCTTGACTTCAGGAAGGCTTTTGATATAGCCTCCCACAACATTCTTGCTGGAAAACTAAGAAAGTACAGGTTGGATGAATGGA